CCCCCCACAATTACGCCACTGCCTGTGAATGTATGAATGTGTGTATCAGGTAATAAAAAAAATTTTTTATCAAATAAAATTTTTATTATAATTTATAAAAAAAATTATTTTTACCAATAATTAAAAACTTATAATAGGTAGCTAAGGCTTTTATTTGAATTATTATAATTTAGAAAAAAAAAGTTGTATAATCTTGTTAAATAACTACAAATTTTCCCCTTGTACGCATGTCAGGATGGCCGAGCGGTCTAAGGCGCCAGACTCAAGGTATAACCTTGTTCATCATTGCGATGAGCCATGTTGAGCGTTCTGGTCCTCATCTGAGGGCGTGGGTTCGAATCCCACTTCTGACAAATTTTTGGCATTTTTTTTTACAATATTTTTTAATTTATTTTTAAGTTATAATTGTATATTTTATTTTACTATTAAAAAAACTATTTTATTATATATATAAAATATATAAATTTAATATTTAACCATTTTCACTATTTAATATTTTAGTATAAATTGCAATAATTTTTAGTTTTGTCTAATTGTTTTTGTTGTAATCCTTAATAATTAATTGTTGTTTTTATAAACAACCAGAACACATAACATTCATAAATAACATTATATTTAATAAATAATGGAAGATAATATAATAATCATATAATTGCAGTTTTGATAAATCTGGTGAAAATATAAATAAATTACAAAAAAATATTTTGTAAAAATGTTCAGTTTGAAGTTGTGGCAACAACATATTTAAATTATAAATGGATACAAAAATTAATAAATTTAATTATATATTATATAAATATTTATTATTTAGCAGAGCGTAGTTTTAACCCAGTGAGCTAGGGATCGGCATCTAGTCGTGACCATCTCTACTTAGCCATTTTGGAGTGGACCCATTTCAGTGTGTATTAAATTTTTGTAGACCTATATTCTTAAAATTCAATTTTTATGATACATGTGCTGTATAGTATATAATTCTAAGTGTGTTATAAAAGATTCCAAACTAGTTTTACCTATATTGCAACAAGGTTGTAAATATATTAATTATAAAACTATTTAAGTTTTAAATTGATAAACGTAAGATTATAAATTTTTATTACGTGATATATTTAATATCTTTTTCATAAGTTTGGTACAATTATGGCTAATATTTATTAGTAATCATTAATTTTATCATAATTTATAGACGCAATATATTGTGTTTAAATTATATTTTCGAGTGTATAATATTTTACTTATAAGTAAAATTAAATACAAACTGAATGTATGACAACAGACAAGTCTATTAGAACTATTGATCGCATTTAAAATTTGTAGTTGTAATGAGTTCTGATCATGATTATAATACACAGTGGCGTGCGCAGGAATTTTGTATGGGGAGGGGTATGTCATAAATAAAAATTTATTATTATCAATATTTATTCTTTGTTATTGTACAAAAAAAAAAAAAAACCAATAAATGCGGAAATTCATCCTTCTGGTTTTTACATTAAATTCATCAATTATTTGTTCTGTAGATAATGATAAATACTATTTATTAAATAGATTATAGATAACCATACATGCATGTTCATTAACGCCAATCCATTTAACGGTTACTGCCCCGTCGTATTTCTTAAATACGTTGTTAAACGTTTAAGACTAAAAAAAAAAAAAAGACTATGGGGGATATATCCCACATCATCCCTCCTGCGCACGCTACTGATAATACACATACACTCAATTAAAAGCACTCTATTAGGAAATCTTGATATTAAACTAATATAGTTATAATAAATTTAGCATGTAGCATATAATATATACGTCTAAATATGATTAATTGTTATATTAGATTTATAGTATTATGAAATTTGTATAAATATAAGTATATGTGTTTTCACCCTTTGTTGAACTTGTAGCCGCTCGCGCAGTGGAAGCGTGCTGTGCTCATAACCCAGAGATTAGTGGATCAAAAACTACACTCTGCTGTTATATAAGCAATTTGTTTATGCATGATTATTGTTTTTTACCCTTTTGGCACTTATATAGAAACAATGTGTAATACATTATTATTGATTTTTATTTTAGAATTTTCTTGATGCAAGGAACATTGATTTAACAGTGATGTTTTTTCTTTGAATTATCTTAATTATTTTTTGAGAAAATGTATTAATTCACCGTCAATTTTATAAAATCTTATATCAGATTACAAATATAATACATTTTATTGGTAAACCAAAATCTAATATGAATTGTTGTATAATAACTAATCCTACTTATTTTATATAGGTATGAATAATAATATAGTAACGGTGATGATGAGGGAGATAGATCCCCCCATGACCTTTTTTTAAATAGGTATTTATATTTCATCCATATCATACATAATATAATATAGGTATTCATCTATTTTCTATTTAAAAAAATAAATTTACTGTACTTATTAGTTATTATACAGTCTCTAGACTGGAATAAAATTAACAGTTCAGAAATTAAACACTAAAATATTAATTGAAACAAATTTTTTAGGTTTTTTTCATTTCTTTTATAGATAAATTATAAGAATGTATGAAATTTAAATTTTGTACTTAATGCTTAACATAATATATTATATTGTTATATGAATTGTGTAATTATATTATTTTAGAGTCGTCTCAATGGTTTAGCCACTATGGCTGTTCATCGTGGGGTTTTCAGTGTATCTGCAGACGAAGTACTGGACGGATTGTCAAAAAAAAACCAAAAAAATAGATTTAATAATATAAATATCATTAATATAATATAATTTTCATGTTTAAAAATAAAGATTTTTATATATAGTGTTTGTTAAAAATCAGCTACATCCCCCCCATGACAAAATCATTCGACTGCCACTGTATAGTAATAGTATATACAGATTCAAATAATTCAACACATTTTATATTAATATCTACTGAACAATAAACCCAAGGTTTAAAGTGGCAAAAAAGAACAGAATGACTCTAAATCATATATCATTCTTAGCATTCTATATAGTTCTACACAATTACTAGATTATTAATTATAATATGTATATATAAATGTTATGAGGTGTTGTTAGTAAACAATTTCCTTTAAAAACTATTAACGTGCTGTAAAAATGTTCAAACTTACAATTTAGCAGTAATTTTCATTATATATTTTCTTATATATACTTGTTAATTTATATACTTTTATTTTAGAATAAATGAGATATCTTATTTTTGTACTAAAACTCATAAAAAAAAAAAAATTTAAATAGAAGGAATTGGAAGAGGGCGTGCGAAGGACAGTTCATAAAATATTAGTATCTATATCACATCAATATATAAGTAGGTACTGTTGTATGTGCTGCAGATTGAAAGTATGACGTGGTTTTACAAAAAGTGTCATTTAAAAATATGCAATTGATTATCTATGTTTATTTTCAATAATGTCATTTTTAAAATGAAATATTTACTACTTAATTTCAATTAATTGAAAAATATATATAACCAATGTAACATGTATTTTTAAGGGATGCTTTGTTTAAAAATAATTATTTCTACCCTTCAATCCTTGTAGCAGAGTGGCGCAGTGGAAGCGTGCTGGGCCCATAACCCAGAGGTCCGTGGATCGAAACCACGCTCTGCTAAGTATATTTTTTTGCTTTTTTTTATGTATTTATAAGTAGCATATACATGGGCTTATTTTTGTGCAACTGTTCATATTTTGAGAACTGTACAGTTTTCCAAAATTAATTGAAATTTTATATTTTCTGCCTGTACAGTTTTACATACCGAAATGTATGCTTGCCTCACAAATATTCAGTTTTGAGTTCAGTTTTTTTCAGTTATTTTGATTGTTCTATAATAAATACTTGCATTAAGCTAATGTGTGTAAACCGATTCCTTTTCATCAACCAGTCATTACATCATATTTTACGATTTTTTTCTTCTTTTTTTTTTTTACAATTAATACTCGTATAAACTAAAGCAATCACTGCAAGCGCATCATCTTGTGTACATGTTATGGTGATAGATGAGATTGACTGATGATTCGAACGATTTATCCCAACGTGTGTGTACTCATTGTCTGTACAGGTATACCTGTACTTTTTACCTGCACATTTTGTGCAAGCAAGTGGCATCGTTTATGATCAGTGTGAAAAAGTACACACAGATAGTTGATATATGATTGATAAATTGTGCGTTAACCAAATGAATTACGATGAGTTCATAAATATCTAGTTACTATAAAGCGGGGATGCGCGACTGGCGGTCCGTAAGCCACATCCGCCCGCGTACTTTTTTATCTAACCCGTACTACATTTTCAAATTACTTCAAAAAATATTAGCGTTTATCGGCATTTAATATTATTGCGTTAGACGTAAAATGTAGATACTATATTCTTACCTAGTACTGAACTGTAGTTAAATTATTAAATGTCTAAGTATAATATGTAATTGACATTTAATAATTTAGTTGCAGTTCAGTACTAGGTATATAATAAGTATAATATATAATACATATATGTAGTGCCGCGGTCTTTTGTATAGAACTACTAAAGAAAAATATTTTTGAATATTCACCTATAGTCAGCGTATGCCGATAAATCAATGCTTACAACCTTTATTACTCCGAAAGCCCTCCCTTAAACAAGGAGGAAGGTGATCAATCCAAATTTACTACCTATTTCCATATCTAATCTCTATTCTCTCCTTTTTCCCTTTATCTTTATTTTTTTCTTTTTAGTTTTGGATTGTTACAAGTACCTGCATGTCATTTGTTCCAAATAAATAACAGGAAAAAGCGTTGTCAACAAAAAATATTTAATAGATTTAAACAATTTAATAATAACTGTGTTGTAGTTATTTACCAGTAAGCTAATTTATTGTCACATAGTTATTGTGAATGGAGGAGACGCAAGTCACAATAATATCGTAACGAGTTGATTTAGCTAGAGACTAGGAAAACGTTCAATTCGGCGTTTGAAGCACAGAATGTAATAGATAAAATTGTTTGAAATGTTGTGTTTAGACGTTATCAATCGACATAATAACAATATTATCTCGGGGCGTCGCCGCCGCCGTTCGGTGGCAATAAAACCATTATTATTATGAATAATTATGCGCGTTTTGTTTACAATTAATTATAATAAACTAATCACGTATAGTGTACACCCACGTTATGAAAAACTCGTAGAATACAGTAGTGCACTATCGCGATCGGTGAGCAATTTACAATTACGAATCACAGGATTCGTCCATCGGTCGTCGGGACAACGGTTGGAAAAAAGGTAAGCAAACATTACGGATACGGTTATCGTAGACATTATTGGGTACATACTCGTTTCTGGATGCAGAAGAAATGTCGTCAATTTGACGACAATGATAACTATGCTCAGACTCGGACCTGACGTTTCTTTTTTCGAAATATAAATCGCTCGTCTATTATCACGGACACGGGACATGCTGCTCAGTGCTCTCAGTGCGTCCTCGAGAATAAAGCGGAATACCGTACGAAGCATACCGTACTCATACGAGACGGCCGGCAAAAGTGTAACTTTTTAAAAAGCCGTTGAATAAATAGCAAACATTCGATAGGTAGTCTTTGGCTTTCATGCATGTAGTCAGATCATAGTTATGTAAAAAATACAAAATTAATCGTGTTGCTGAAATCCAATTTTATCGTTTATAATATTTATATATTTCGAAAAAAATCAATATGAGTTGAAGTAAATTTAAAAAAAAATTATACATTTTTCATATATTACAATATTTACTAAATATGTTATAAATTAATTAATTATATGATACTGATTCTATAATGTGTTCTATTTTAATTTTGATTCCTTCAGTAAAACGGTGTAAATTGTTTATTTTATTCGCTGTATCTACTCAATATTCTTGTTTATAATTTTATGACGTTACTTGTTTCCGAATATTTTGTCCTTTAACCGTTTAACTCTCGATAATAATTAATATAAATATTTTTATAGAAATAAACCAGAATGTATTATTTTAATCCCCTCTTCATTCTATTCAAAGGTTCACATTAATATACTTAATACTAAACGACCATGGAATTATAGTAAAATTTAAAGCGAATAAATCGAAAAGTATCCGGTATCTTTCAGTACTTTTTAGCATTTAATATGCGAGTATACAATTGAATGGTTAATGAGTAACTTGAATTAATTCGATTAGCCATACAATAATAATGAATTAATGATAAATCTAAATAATTATAATTTTAATTTAATTTATTGAAATAATGTTTGTATTATTAAAACGATTACACATTTTAACTCTTGATTATTATATTATATTATATTATTATTTCTTATGTATGAAATATTATCATAAACTATATATAAAAAAAAAGTTAATACTAGATCTGTATACATTTAATTTAGTGTGTATGCACAGCATGGCATATGTTGCTATAATTATCTCCTTGAAATGTTTGAAAATTATAATATTAATACAGGTCCGATTCTCCAAAACCTAATGTACTGGGTGTGTCCCTATTGACAAAATATATTTTGTACGTATACCTACGTACCTATTTTTTATCTTATACCTATTATTATTTATGTACAAATATCGAATAGATTTTTAGATTATGTTTTTATATATTTTTATAGGTATTTCATAGATAACAATCAATATTCATCATAAATACCTACGTTTATGTTCAACGATAATATAGTGCACGTGATTAACGCATAATTATGAAGATTGCTATAATCGGAGCAGGAGTTGCTGGTTTGGCTTCAGCTAGGAGATGTTTGGAGAATGGTTTTGAATGTGTAGTATTTGAGAGGACAAAGCGAGTAGGTGGAACTTGGGTATATGATGAACGAATCGGACTCGATGAGTTTGGCTTGCCAATTCACACGAGCATGTATAAGTGTCTGATGTATGTATTTTTTTATATAAATTATTTAAATATAGTGTATTTTTAATGTTATATCTTATTTGTACTGCTTTCAGGACTAATTTACCGAAAGAATTAATGAATTATCCAAACTTTCCATACAAAGGTTTAGACAATGTGTCATTTTTAACTCCGTTCCAAGTTCAAGAATATATTGAACAATTTACTAAACATTTTAAACTCATTCAGCATATAAGAGTAAGCATTGATTTTAATAATATATGCAGGGCCGACTTAAGATATGATAGATGTGCTACGGCACAGGGCGCCAAAATCAGAACGGCACGTGAGAAACGTTAAAATTAGAAATTAATTTAATTAAACGTTGGCGACGCAAATTATCTCCTATACCTAGGTATAAAGAATAATAATTTTCACAATGTGATTTAGTAAAAACTAATTTTATTATTATTATTATTATTTATTATTATATCAACATGTAAGTGGCTGCGTTTGTAGGTACAATTACAGTTTTATAAACTATAAATATATTATTATTATCATTATGTTCTCTTTATGATTTACAAATATGTGGCAAATATGGTCATTTGAAAAATTATTTTGGGAATTTTTAATTATAAGTGGGGCTTTTCAGCTCCCCAAATATATTTAAGTCTTATAAAAGGAAGAGGCGCCAAAATAATTCTATTGCACTGGGCTTGAAATAACTAAAACTGACCATGACTATGTATATAGTACTATAGTGTAAATATATACTGTAGATCAACGTTTCCCAAACTTTTTTCTACCGGACCCCTTAGAGATAATAATCGCGGACCCTTAGTACAAATAAAAATTAAAAAACAATAATAATACTTTGTATATTTTAAATTTACGTTCTTGGACTCCCTCCGGTATACGTGCGGACCCCTAAGGGTCCGCGGACCACAGTTTGGGAAACCCTGCTGTAGATTAAATGATCATTATTATATAATTTATTCAATGCTAAATTCATATTGTTTTTACATTATTAGAAAATGTATATACTTATAGGTATAATAATAAAAAACAATTATTAGATAATGTAAATTATCAATAGTACATACCTGTACATAGTAGAGATACTTTTAAATAAAAGTAATAATACTTTTTAGATACTTTTTAGCTTAGGTATTGATTTCCGAGAAAAAATTGAAGTGGACTAAGTGGTCAAAATAAGTGACGAACGGAACTAGTACCCTTTATTTCCTTTTTTTTTTTATTCATAAATATATTAAAAATAATGAAGAATAAAAATGAATAATCTATTAAAGTTTATGACATGTCTTATGTAGTTCAGGACCTTCAAATTGTTTGAAAAATTAAAACCCACCTCAAAATGCAGGACTAAGTACACCACTGATCCTAATATATTGTAATGATGGTTTATTTAAAAAAAATAATTAATAATTAAAACGTAATCATTATTAAAATTAATATCAACAAATTGTATTGCGTTGGACGGATTAACATACACTATAACGATTAAAAACAATTTAACTACTCGCCTTTTAATATTATTTCTATTAAAATTAAAAATTAAATTTTTTTACGGTCTATTGTTTTTATTATGATTGCTTGTCTTGTTGCCAAATTATTATACAGTGTACCATCGTTTTTAATAATAAAATTATACATAATCTTACATAATGGGTGTGTTTAATTGTGATTGAGTTTTAATTGGTTGTGGTTATTCATTCATTTTCTTTAGTTTTGTAGTTTGGTAACTTCAGTGGAAAGATTAACGAACATTTGGCAAGTGATAGTTGAAGACTTGATGACAAAAACAGCACGCATCGAATATTTTGATGCAGTTATGGTGTGCAATGGACACAACGCTGTACCTCGTATACCAGATGATAAGCCAGGGATGAATGAATTTGTTGGTATACAGATCCATAGTCATGATTATAGGGTGCCTGAACCTTTTAAAAATATGAATGTTCTAATAATTGGTTCTGGTCCGTCAGGTGTTGATATTTCCGTTGATGTTGCAAAAGTTGCTAATCAGGTAAATTATTAAAACATTATATACACAAGATATAACATAATACCGTATGATATTTTACAACGAAATTAATTAAAACTAAACTAACACACTGCTATGTGTATAGATTGAGTTAAGTGTTTTATATGATATACATATTTATAACAAAATATTTATAATTGAGAATTTATAACTGATCTGCAATATGTATCTTAATATGTTACTACAAGTAGGTTTGTGTAACATTTAAGTTTTTTCTAGATATCTGGAACGGCAGATATAATATTACATGGCTGTGTAGCAAGACTTTTTGACGGGTAGGCCTGAACTTGACTATTATACATAGCCAAGATTTATTTTATGTTAAAAATAAAAAAATTGTTTGAAAAAGTTATTTTTAAACAAAAGAATGATAGGTAGACCCGGGTCTACAAGGCTTATTCTTTAGGCTATTGCTGATAAGTTGTATTATTTCAAAAGTTTAAAGTAACCTATAATAATACGTCCATTTTAAAATGACTTTTGGAGGTTGATAATAATGTAAATTATTTTGCAACTTATAACATGTTACATTTAATAAATTTTGCATATAATACATATAAGTATATAATAATCAGCAACTAATGTAGATATTTCATTTTGAAGATTTTATCTATACGATTCTAATGTAGGTAATATTATTACTATGTAAATAAATAAACACAAAGCTACGTATTAACAGGCCAGAAGAAAAAGAAGAAGAAGAAGTAGAAGAAGAAGAAGAAAAAATAAATAAACAAATAAATAAAATAAAAGCTTAGTCAAGAATATTATTGTGATTTTGTTTTTCATATTCACTCACAATTTTATTGACTTTGTATATACATACCTAATGATGAATTTTAATTCGAAACCAGTCGTACTTTACAAATATAATAATACTTCAAACTAAGCTTTTATTTTACTTATTTATTTTTATGTATAAACTTTTTTATTTGTTTATTAATTTACGAGTATTTAGCATGTAATAATTTTTAATTTTAATTAAATTTTTTATTTTTTTTTTATTTTATATTATTATAATTTTTGTTATGTAAATATATACTAAATATTCGTACTTTTAATATATAATTCATTATTTTTACAATTTTTTTTTAATGTTCTATAAAATATATAAATTATGGAAGTATTTTATTAAATCAACGGCCTTATTGGGAGTAAAAATAAAATTAATTGTTCTAGTTTGCATGATATTTACAATTCCATAAATCGTTTTTTAGTTAGAGTTTTTCGTCCTTACTTTACAATACCGAAAAGCAGGGGCGGTTCTTCAGGGGAAAAAACAGCTACTTGTAAATAATTAATATTTAAAAATGTATAGAAATATTTTTATTTTTATTGAAAATATGTTTTCTATATTTATTAATATAAATTTATGGCCACAAAATGTAAAACCTATAAATAGTTATTTTGATGGAAACACTATTTTAGTAATTTCGACGACAGTAGCCGTTTCAGTGAAACTGACGTCCGACAGGTTCAGTCGTAACATTTAATGATTTGGCCTGTTGGACGAAGGAGGCCGGGGAGAATAATCCGCGTATTATAGACGCTATTGAAACTGGGGGTGTCGATCATAACCGCATACTTTCAAAAACAGGTCATCGTTAAAACCGCACACTTTTATATCTTAATCCCACATATTTTCGCCAAATCAAACCGTTCAATACCGCATAAATGTATACATATATCAATTACATATACATTTATCTAAAATAACATGAGTGCACCTCGAAACCAAGCGGGGTCACTCACTCGCTCGGACGGTTAAAAACGAAAATATCCCTCAATTTCCTTTGTAACATCACCCCAAGTAGGTCCTAGGATAAAAAAAAAAGGTTTTATGTGGGACTCATAGGAAACCAGCAACGTGAAGTGTACCCGTAAAGTCTGCAGAGAGAAAGGAACTGTTAACCAAATGTGTGCGGTTTTGAACAACTGACCTTTCAAATTTCCCTTTTTAACAATAGAATAAATATGTGCGGTATTGAACGATGTAAAATGTACGGTTAAAAACGGTGTGTGGTTTTAATGACCCCCGGGAACTGGGTCCATGACATTTCCTTGCCATCGCGCCGTCGTTAGTCGCTGTACAAGGTCATCTGCGAATTCGCAGATAAAAAAAATTTACAATTAAATTAAGTTAAAAATATTAACTAAATATTAAATTAAGTATTAAGTATAATTAATTCTCCAATAAAAGGGTTTTTTTTGTTCATTGTTGTTTGGAGTTTATGTTAAATAATTAAAGTCTCCACAGAATATTTACTATGAGTCGCTACTGCGAAAAAGAAAAAAATAATAAAGATCAAGAACAACACGGACTTGACCATATATTAAATTTGTTTTTTTATAATTTGTATCAATCGTCAATCAACATACTGTAATGGAGTACGTTATTTTATTTTTAAAATATTTATTCGTTTACAGGTTTATTTTAGTCATAATAATCCAAAACTATTGGATAAAGAATTTCCAGATAATATTGCACATAAACCAGCCATTGAATATTTTACAGAAAAAACAGTTTGTTTTATAGACAAAACTTCTGTTGCTTTGGATGCAATAATTTACTGCACAGGTAAATATTAAATAAAGTAGTGAACTTGCTACAATTGAAAGAGTAAAATATTTGAAATTGATAAGTCTTCTTTAAATTCTATTTATTTTGTTTAATGTTTTAATAGGATTCAAAATTGCATTGCCTTTTTTAAAGCCAAGTTGTGGAATCAACTTAATAAATGACGAATTAATCACATCTCTTCATAAAAATATCGTGAATATGAATAATCCTTCAATGGGCTTTATTGGCTTCATCAACATGAATTTTGTGTTTCCGATATTTGATCTTCAGGTAATAACTAATAAATAAATGTGTAAGTACTTTATTTATTATATATGTGTACCCGCAGTACAGTGTAAAGAAGTTTGTGAATACGTAGATTTGTGACGGTTTATTTTTTCTTTTATACACATAGTATATAATGTATTATAATATATTTTTTCCTCCCATCGATAGGCCATTTTTCTAATTGAGAATAACACACTTATCGATTTATATCTATGAATGAACAGCGTACTATCATTAATCGCATGTGAATTAGTTCCAACAAAGTTATGTACCGCATCCGTTATAAAACGATGAACACAACAAATCAGTTAAGACGTTTGAGCGATTATTATTATAGGGACAAATATGATGGAAAAAATAATATGTATAATATAAGTGATTTGTGATCCGCATACTACCTCAGATCTTTGTCAAGCAGAATTAGTTCAACGTAGATATTCGCGGTTGGCAGAGTTTTAATTAGGTATTCCTCATCTACATAATAATTATTCACCTATTGCTGACCTTTTTTAATTAAATACGTTTATTGATTATTGAGTTGCTTTGGGTTCTAAGTAGTAAATACCTTAATGATTTGCTTTGTGGTTAAGTTGATTCTCTACATCTTTTATCTCTTTTTTTTCGAATGCTTGTTTTGCTAAAGCTATTATTTTCTTAACTTCTTTTGTTGATCTGTTATCTTCCATAATTCCGTAATTAGGCTTTCTTTGTTGTTTCCATAAGGGTTGGCAATTATAAATTTCGTCCTTAATCTTTAAAAAAAATAAACAAGATGTTTTTACGTTACATATTTTCTTTTGTTGTAAGATCACATATACGAAATCCATTATAGAATCAAATGTAAATATTAAAATTATGTAATTAATTAGAGTTTTGTTTATAAACTAATTTGTTGTTTTTTTTTATAGGCCCGATATTACATAGAATTTCTACGTAACAATTATTCCGCAAACGAGAATTGGATGACAGCAGTTAACACACATGTTGTGGGCCATTATTTACTCGAGTATTGTAAATCGTTAGCACTGGAAGAAATTAAAATCGAGCCAATCCCAATGATCATATTTAGGACATATTGGGGATGTCAGAAACTTAGAGAAGAGAACTTTGGATCTTATCGATCAGCAGTATTTAGGATAATCGACAGTAATAAGTATTTTATTGAATTCGACAAAAATAATGCAAAAAATAAATTTAAACATACAGTTTAATTATATTTGTTATATTCTTTAACTTCCTTATACCAGTATAAAGAATATCTAATCTTTCAATATTTTCTACACAGCCATGACTGCAGATCTCGATTTTTTGTCGAACTTACAAGATAATAAGATTGAAGAGTAGATTTGAAAGTTTATATATTGTATATATTGTATACATTATATTGAAAATGATTGAAAACATGCGTATTAGTTTTTTGTATCTGTTTACCATAAACTTCACTTGTAATTTGTTTTCATTTATAATATTTATTTTATTTCATTGATTACAATTTAAGGTAGTTGATTTAGACCTAAAAGACGGACAAAATGCCGTCGAGGGCCTCAAGGGCATACCTAGAAAACTGTGGACTGAGCGTTAAGTATAGGCAATCAATTACAAATAGTCTTATGCCAGAGTTAAATAATTTACGCAAGAATTACATAGCTGTTAAACAAGGGCGTACATCATCAAATATCCAGGGGAGGGACACATGTGATTGGTACCTCTCGGCGATGGTTATCGATAGGTTTATACTTAGTATCTATGATTCCCAGAAATCGTTCTGCCATGGTAAAGTTTGGTCCACGAGAGATAATATTAGCTAACAAAATAAATTTAATAAGTATTTAACATAAATTATTAATTATAATATTTGATGTATAAATGTAAATTGATACGGAAAGCCAGGGAGGGAATGTTCCCCTTTCTTACACCAAATGGACGCTAATGCTGTTAAATACAACTTTTTATATTAATAATATAGATCTTTGTTCAGAGTTTTAACAGTTTTCATGACGAACATTTTTTTAACAAATTTTATATATATACCAACTATTGGACGAAATCAATTGATTCGAATAATTAAGACTAATTAATTAGATTAATTTAGATTTTATTTTTGAAATTGTGGTCAAATAACCAATAATAATTTTATAAGCATAGGCGTGTCCAGACTTTGTCCACAGGGGTCCCTTAAAAAAAGTGAACCAAAGAGTCTTGTACTAAAGACTACTAGTATAGTTAAATATTTTAAATTTTATAAATTATTTATTTAATTCAATATGGAAGTATAAAAAAAAATACTATTTAAACGTACACAACTTGTATCTAAGAAATCCTTATTTAAATATTAATATACTATTTACAACTCCATCCTTCTGTCCACGGGAGTAAGGTTTTTGAATTTATCAATTACATCTTCAATTTTTATATTATATGCAAGTTCTGATTAGTCTGATTAATGGCTAATAACTTTATTACATTTATTCACAGATATCAATTCTATACTATGAGATTAAAATTGGCTTTACTTTATTCATGTAAAATGTAAAAATGTTCGCTATCTTGTATAGTTTAGATATACATTTATTAAAGAAAAAGCCAGAGTCCGCAGCCCCCCCCTCCGTGAGCACGCCTATGTTTATAAGTGCAACAAACTAAGGACCAATACTCGATTTCAGTATTATTTTTAAATATAATTTGGTCCTCTGGAGCTTATAAGCCATGATATACATACAATAAACGAATGAACTAACTGTTGGTCACATTGTTATTATATTTTTTGATAAGAAATGTTTAAAATCATTAATATTGTTAAAATTAATAAAACTGATAAGAGATAAGCTGCATTCAACAAATATGATTTCAAAATAAATTGCTTTATATTATTTTAAAAAAATTTATATTTATTTATTTATTTTTGTTCCTTTTTATATTTTTCTAAACTATAATTTTATAATTGAAAATAATTTATTCCTTAATTGTTATATAGCATAAGGATTTTAAATATTGTGTTAATTATATTTTAATTTTACATCTACAATACTGGTAATTTGTAAGATGGCAGACGATGTTGGATCTGTAGCTGCATGGCGTGTAGCTCTCCAAGCAATGTCCGAACGATGTGAAAGACTACAATCTCGATTAGATATTGTTGAAAAAGAAAATTTAACTATTAAAACGCATTGTACATGTCAAACAGTTAATAACCAATCTGTACAAATTAATATCAAAGAGTTATCTTGTAAAAAGGAACAATTGGTTGAATATTTACGTATAGTAACTAATGAAAATCGTACTTTGTGGACAAAATTGTCAGCATTAGATTGTCCAGCAGTTTATTCTAATGATAAAATCAAGCCAAAGAATTCTTTGGCAATCATTGACAATTATTTGAAGTACAATGGTATGTGTAAAATTGTATTTATATTAAATGGTCAAAACTAAATAATTATTTTTTTTTAGATATTGATCTGAAGATGAATTCTAATAGTATCATGGTATGTTTTTTTATTATTTCTATTTTATTTATTTTGAAATCATAATTTAAAATATGTATAGATATACAGTATTCTATAAGGATTTATTTATTACAAGTTTTTCAGAAAATAATTACATATTTTTTTTTTATATTTCATTATAATTAAATTAATAATTTTGATTGTATTTTATAACAATATCAATAAAACCTGAATAATTACTTCCAAGCATAGATATAAGACGAGGGCTAAAGCCCCCTTCCCCCCTTAAACAATAGGTAGAACCATATGGAATGTAGGTACAAAAAATATTTAAAAAATTAGATGTAAGAAAAACTTCTTACAAATCGAAGCTATCTTGTCACGCTCTACTATCCAATTTATATCTTTACTATTGTGACTTAATGCTAATAAAGATTAGCACTCTCTTTTACTGCATGATATAAATTTTTGACTGTGTATTTAGTCATTGGTCGACAGTTCTTGGGTTTACACATGGTTTTTTATTTTCACGTCACATTTAAAAATTTTACAAAAGAATTTTACAATATAATTCAAAACGAAGAATCAGCTACTAATTTTTTAATTTCTAAAAATCTTTTAGTAAATGTAGAAAATATTTTGTGCGTTAAATGTAGTAGTGAAATTAAGTATTACATAAAAAAAGAATGTGGAAAAGAAAGAAAATTGTTGATGTGTTAAAGGAAAGGGTGTCAAACCAATCAAAGTATAAGGTAAGGTATTATGTTTTATTTTTATTATTTTTTTTTTTTATATTTTTTTATGTATAATATTAATTACCTATATATTTATTTATTTATATATTTAGAAAGAACGATAGTTTTTGGACACACATTGATAAAAATGGGTGTAATAATAGTGTATTAAGCATTGGAGCACAACTAGAATAAGTTTATTATTGGTTATTATTTAAAGCAGTCCACAATTATGACTGGTAGATCAGTTCTTACAATGTGTTACTAGATGAACTTGTGTCGTGATTTATCTGTCAGAATATTTGAAAATCGCAATAAATTAAGAGGACCCAAAATAGTTATCCAAGTAGACTAATGTTTGTTATGAGAATCAAGGAAGAATAATAAAGGACAACTTCGGCTTGGAGATTTACCATCTGAAACTTATGTCGATGATGATTTGGAAAATGTTGATAATAATAAGTGTAATAAAAATAACAATTACTTAAATTAATTATAATTAAAGTGGTGAAAACGGTAGAGCGCATACGACAAGATAGCCCAAATCGATATGTGCATGAATTATGGCAGTAACTTACTTTACACTTTAGCTTCCCCTTTTTTTAATTTTTAGATCCATGCCCGATTAGTTTATAATTTACAAAGGAAATAGTACCATTTTGTTAATTCTCATTGTTTACTCAGTAATTATTGGTAAATAGTAAATAAAATTTGTCTAAATTATTGTTGAAAACTGATAACTTTATATATTATAATATTTTTTTTTTTACTATGTTAACAAATTATTAAATGTTATATATTTTTAGTCTATACAACCAAATTGATGTAGTATTCTACTATAGCTTTTAAGAATAATGTGTTATTAATATGATTATTAAATTATGCTTAAAATATGTATTAGGATACAGAGGATGATGTAGCAAGTCTTCAGTACAGTTCAGATGATGAAACTTGGCCAATGTTATTATCAGAACTTAATACATACAAAGAAAAATTAACATTGGCTAAACATTTACTAGCTGATCAAAATGATTTAATTCTTAGTATCACTTCAAGATTTAATTTGCTTGTAGAAGGTTACCTCTTTTATTTAAGTCACTTGTAATCATTTTTATTAATTCAAATTATTGAAATATTTTTCTATCTAGAAGTTAAAGTTATAAAACCAAACACAGAATATAGAGATGCAGAAACACTAACAACATCTACATTAGATTCGAGTCAATCTTGTATTTGTGGAATTCGGGCAAAACCAGATAACCAAAGTATATGCCCTCTATGTAAGTTATACATAGTAGGTGCTGATGAAGATAGCATGTTTGATAAACTAGTTGAACATGTGACGAGTCATTTTCCAGACGAAGAACCTGAAACTACTATAGATAGTTTATCTGGACATTATTAAAATAATTTATGGCAATCATTAAATTTATAACTATTTTTTTATTTAAATAAGTATTAAATATTCAACTTGATCTAAAAATATATTGATCAAGACAAATGTAAATAAAAAAATTTTCAAAAACTTTTATACTATAAAGAAAAACTGACTTAAGCTAATTCGGATGGTTTGACATCTTTGCAATCTGAATTGCCAATTGTGGTTCTTTGTAATAAGTTTCTACAAAACCATACTGGTTTTTCTCTTTTTAATTCAACAATTCTTTTACCCTATAATACGAAAATATAAATAAAAGTTTAAAAATTAAAAACTCGTTGGTAGAGTAGTAATAGCGTATAAAAATCTTACTTTCCAAAATTCTTCAGGTTTTTTTGTTTTTTCTCCTTTATAGAGAACCACAACTTCTTGTTCAATTGGGTCTAATCCCAATTCTTTTTCGATAACTTCTTGAAACTCAGTAGTTTCATCCTTAACTCGCTTATAACAATTTGCTAAACAATAAAAATTTAATATAATTCAAGGCAGTTATAATATCCTAAGAAAAAAATCTACTTGATAAAGTTTAGATACATTTTTCTTAAACATAATATGTAATATGCATTAATTTTTTTTAATTATAACTTAGTATACACCAGTTTCAAAAACATAATTATATTTAAGATCTCTCCTGCATCAGGTTTATACTACGTTTTAATGCTAACACCTTTTTTTTATAGTGTTTGGGCTGATACTACATGTATGGAAAAAAAATTAAATATTGAACAGTTTTGTCCAAGATTTAATTTGATAAAATGTTAAAATGTTGAATAAAAACTAAATTGTGATTTTATCTGATCAGTACTCACGACATAAGTGACGTCTCTGATAATAATGACCACAGTGGTTACATGTGAATAGATCCGTACGAGGCATCAGCATTTTGTAGAATTCAGTAATATATCCAAATTTACGGCCTAACCTTTTCTCAATCGTACGTCTGTGTTTGGGTACAGCCCAGAGAATAGAATTTTTGAACAGCTGTTGCACGTCAATTAGATGTTGCGAAGACGGTTTAAGCGTTTCGACAGGGTTTGCAAAAGAAAGCGCTGAAAACCGAAAAACATTTGTAATCGGCTGGCGAATAGAAATTAAAAATAAAATGTTATACTACTAACCGGGTGGAGGCATCTGTCCGAATAATACGTTGCAAAAAGCATTGAAATTGAAGGTCAGATGGTTTTTGATCCTCTTAAATGTTAGAAGACCTTTCATTTTTATTTTTCCCAATGTTCGTCAAAAGTTTAACCTATGAGACTTCGTTTCTTGTAAAGTGCACGACTACCGTGGTCGGTTTTCCGGCAGTGTGTATGTTCTTTCCTTCGCTCTGCGTGTTATCAGTTACTGTTATCATCGCACGGCGGCAACAGCTGCAATTGCACAGCTATCGGAGCCCATCAATTTGACCAAAATCGAAATTCGAAATTCTCTCCGATAACGACGGCACAGTGCTCCTGTCCAGATGACGTCACCACAGTATTGAAATCTGTGATTCTGGGAAAGGTGTGGATAGTGGATATTCCCCGATTATTGTTATTGTTTTCGTTTTTTTTCCTCAACCGAATACGTTGTACAAGTAATAAATACCGTTCGATGCTCATTGCTCATCGTTCGTTCGCGAGTAGTCGGCGACATGTCGCGTGTACTGTTTTAACGTGAATTATCGCACATCTACGACGGCGAAACGAGCAGACAGTCATCGGTTCATCATTCGTAGCACTACACCGTACGACAAAACAATAATGCACTGCGGCAGACGTCGTGACATCGCGTGATAGCGTATTGTATACAAGTGCAGGAGGCCTCAAGCGCAGAAATTCGCAACGCGGCCGGAGTTTTACTCATAAGTAGTCCGCCTAAAATTTCACCGGCGTTGCTTTCGTCACTTCATGTTGAATATGGCGCACAACCTAGCACCGAGTGTTAACTGTTCGCTGGACGACATCGATCTCAATGCTTTAAAGGTGAGTCTTAGTCCGTCTCATTGGCCGAACCCTTGGTGTCATGTTCCATTTTATCCTCTAACCATCATTCGTAATTTGTTTTTTTTTTTTTTACAGGACCCAGCAGGTATATTTGAACTCATCGAAGTTGTTGGAAATGGAACATACGGACAAGTTTATAAGGTGAGTGTTAAAACTACAGTGGCTAGCTTTTGGCTATGATTCATATTTTATCTACTCTATTATGTTGATAAGTTAAAGTTCTTATTTGTTGATTAAAGTTTTATTCAAAATGTTATGTAAATATTATTTACAAACTAGTATCATTTTTACATGTACCATGCATAGTGGGCGAATAAATATGCAATATAAATTATTTTCTATTAGGTTGTAGATTATTATTATTGTATTTATATGTATACACTTATGTAAGTATTATAAATAAACATTTTTATCATAATTAAATAATAATTATACAAGCTTATAAGTTTCAGATCATTTAATTTTAAGCTTACTTTAAGAATAAATTTGTATGGTTAAGTTTTTAAAACTCAGTATTTTATTCCTATTGTTTATTTTTTAATTTTGTGTGTCATATCCTTGAAGGAATTGTTAAGTAATTATTAGATTAGGGCGTGCCATTCTGGATGTTATTGGTTAATGACCCTCTGAAGTCTATTTGCATGGACTAATTCTACCTACTTTTGTTATACATATTTTATTGTTATTAGTTGGTAATGTCATAATTATTTGCTTACAATAAATATTAATTAAGTTATTTTGATTATGTTTCATGGTGTATGTATAATTTTTCAATATTTTGATAAATTTAAAATCATTAATAATACTAAATTATATGTTTATCAATGTTTTTAAATTTGCATTATTTGTTGGATTTAGAACAATTAAGCATTAAATGTATGGTATTCAGTTTTATTAATTTAAAACATTTTTGGAGTTAAAAATCTTAGATGTCAAGTAAGGTCACAATAGTTCCTTTTATTATCATACCAATTACATATTGCGTGGTCTATATTATTTAATGAAGTGAATCATCATGTATAGGTAGTTATGCATCAGTGATTTTAATTATCTTTGTATATTGTTGTACAGTCAGACCAATATACTATCTTATAAAATGTCTAGATCTTCAAAATAATTATTTTTATATTTTATTCTAATTAGCATTTATATATTAGTTAAAACATATTCTATTAATATTCATATATAAATGAAAAATATAAAAAATTATAAATTATATTAAATATAACAATTTATATATGACTTACTTTATTTATTTAATTCTTTATTAAAATAGTATATTATTATATGGAAGTGTTTGATTAACAAAATTGCTCTAATAGCTTAAAATTCAATTTTCATGTGTCATTTATTAGTATGATACGGCTTATGAACTAATTTTCATAGTTTATTAAAAAGATATTTAAGCCTTGGAAAGTTTTTATTTACATTTTATAAATATTACTTAGAATACATGAATTTATGCTAGAATCTATATTATATACTGATCAATGTATGTAGACTTATGAATATAACTGTACATTTTACACCTTGTTATCAATTTACTAAGAAATTAATCAAGTGGCTTGAAATATATATTTTTGATTTAAAAATAAAAATAAATATTATAATAATAATATCAATTTTGATTGTTTTATATATATATATATATATATATATATATATATATATATATATATGTGTATGTGTGTGTGTGTGTGTGTGTGTGTGTGTGTGTGTGTGTGTGTGTGTATGTAATGTTACTATTATAATTATTATGCAATTTAATTGTATTATTAATAAATTACTTTTTAATTCTTCAACATATGCTTCAAATCAATATTATGATTGATTAAAATTGAATCATTTGCTATATCAACTTATTTATTCAATATTTAAATAATATTAAGTACCTAGTACAACATATATGTAGGTAAAAATTATATTTGTTGGTAGGTACCAAAAAATCTAATAAATAAGTAAAACTTATATTATAGAATGTTAAACCATAATTTATATTTAAAAGTAATTAGTACTAGTATTTAATGATAATATATATTATTCATTAAATACAATAGAACATTTTTTTTAGATGGTTATTAAATAAATATTAAGTAAATGCTTTACTTATTATTTTACCAGTGTATTAAAATTTTTTGTTTTAGTTTCACAGTATAGAATTTATTGTTGAATGACAAAAGTGTATAAATTTAATTAAATTTTTTTTTTGTAGGGACGACATACAAAAACTGGACAACTGGCAGCCATTAAAGTTATGGATGTTACAGAAGTATGTATAATCATTATAATATACAATAGAAACATGTATTTATGTATAATCAATTGTAAAATATATTTTTTTGTGTAGGAAGAGGAAGAAGAGATAAAATTAGAAATTAATGTTTTGAAAAAAGTAATTTATACTTAAATAATTTTGGTTTAAATTTTAATGTAAATGTGATGTAATCAATTTGTATTTTATAGTATTCCAACCATCGTAATATTGCCACATATTATGGTGCATTTATTAAAAAAAGTCCTCCAGGTAAAGACGATCAACTGTGGCTCGTGATGGAGTATTGCGGAGCAGGATCTGTCACTGATTTAGTAAAATCCACCAAAGGACAATCACTTAAAGAAGAATGGATTGCTTATATTTGCCGAGAAATATTGCGTGGTCTAAGTTATTTGCATTCAAACAAAGTTATTCATCGTGATATAAAGGGTCAAAATGTCTTGTTAACTGATAATGCTGAAGTAAAATTGGTCGATTTTGGTGTCAGTGCTCAATTAGATCGTACAATTGGGCGACGTAATACTTTCATTGGTACACCTTACTGGATGGCTCCAGAAGTAATTGCATGTGAAGAAAATCCAGATGCTACATATGATAACAGAAGTGATTTATGGAGCTTAGGTACATTCATGAACATTTATATTCATATAAATATATAATAAATCCTAATGTTTTATTTGTATTTAATAATATTTATATTAAAATATTTTTAATTATTTTTAGGCATTACAGCTTTAGAAATGGCTGAATCCCAACCACCTTTGTGTGATCTTCATCCAATGAGAGCTTTATTCTTGATTCCTCGAAATTCACCACCTAGGTTAAAGTCAAAAAAGTGGGCTAAAAAGTTTCATAGTATGTTAAGTTTTTAGAGAATTTATTGATAACATAGTTAAAACTTGATAAAATGAGATTGATGATTGACATCAAAATAATATTGTGGTATTTATTATTAGGTTTTATTGAAACAGTTTTAGTAAAAGATTATCATCAAAGGCCATATACAGATCAGCTTCTGAAACATCCATATATTAGGGACCAACCTACTGAGAGACAAGTCCGTATTCAACTCAAAGATCATATTGATAGATGTAAAAAACGAAAGCAAGAAAAATGTAATTATTATTTAAATGTTATATTTTGTAGCAATATAAATAATGTTCTTTTTTTGAAACTAATATTTTTTTTTAGCTGAAAGAGACGATTATCGTTATAGTGGATCTGAAAATGAAGAAGATGATGATCATAATATTGCTGGTGAACAACATTCATCCATTATTCAAGCTCCTGGAGATAATACTTTAAGACGTAATTTCCAACAAATTCAGGAAGGGCGAACATTGACTCCTCATGTTAAAGATAAACATGGTAAAGAAAGAGAAGAAATACCTGAACCAGTCCCTCCTGCTCGTCCACCAATGTTACCCCAAAGATTAATTGGTGGGTATATTAACATAAAATTGATAAAAATTATTTATTAATTTTACATATTTATTGAATTAGTTGTCCCAGATCCTCACCCTCTTTCTAGACCTCTTCCTCCACCACCTCGTGATGACAGACATTTTCATCCACAACAGCAGCAACCACAAAGGAATTCTAATGCATTTCAACCAATGGTAAGTTTATTTTATTATGAGTTAATATTTTAACTTGGGAGCAATCATTTTAGGACTTAAATGTTATTGCTGCTCATTTAAATCAATTGGGTGTTTCTTTGGCCAGACAGACAGATGTTTCTTTGTTACAGGTACATCAAAATGGTGGTACTAAAATGATACCCCAAGGTATAATTGAGTCTGATTCTTCTGATGATGATGAGGATGATGATGATGAAGAGGAAGATGATACAGCTCACAGACATGATGCCCGGCGTGCTCCACCTAGAAGAAAGCCAAATGATGGAACATTACTTGCTAGTGATCCACCTAAACCATTGTAAGTTTAATATAATTCATGCCATTAGATATTTAGCTATAATTTTTTTTTTTTTTAATTTTATTTTATCCGTTATTTATTATGAATCCTACCATTATTTGTATTGATTTTACTAATATTTAAAATGGGTTTATGTAAGGGTTGATAAGGTATTGTCCTAGGGCAGCGGTTCCCAACCTTTTTAGTAGTGTGGACCACCAATTGCTTACTAATAGTAATATATGAAAATAGATACGTCAGTTATTACAATTTAATTATTAAAAAACAATTGTTTAAAAAAAAAAAAAAAATTTCATTGAACCAGATTTATCAAGAGTTAAACAATTTAATGTTATTTTTGATTGTCCCCCCACCATAGAATCAATATCTGGATTAAAACTAAAAAGTTTTAGTCTTAAATCATTTTCAAAATTTAGTTTATTCCTTTATTTATTTTTAAAAACAAAGTAGTTCACATAGACACACAGGTTGTCAAAATATAGCACATCAAGTTTCTAAATGCAATTTTAGAGATTGCTGGAAAGTCTTGCCGAATATTTAACTAGAATGGTAATAATGGTGTATTTTTAAAAAACAATTTTAGAGTCTTATCACATGAAATTTCAATCAAAATATCTTCTTTACTTACTGATATTTAATATTTTAAAAATATATGTAAGTAATTTTAATATAATATTATTCATGGTCCAGTACCACACTGCTTGCAGTGCACTTGTGGGTCGCGGTTCATGGGTTGAGAACCGCTATCCTAGGAGATAAAATGGATGGACAAAATCATAATTTTTACCATAGATAAATAAATGAATTGAATAATTTTAATTTGTTTTTATTCTATTATTTTTTTGGTAAGACTTTTTACCTTACTTTTATGTTCTACAGGTATAACAATTTTAAATGTCTAACTTGACTTATTAACAAACAAAATAAAAAATATAAAAAATTTACTGCAATAATTAATACTTAATTAGATAAACTGAATAATTTTATTAATTGATTAAACTTACCCAATAGCTCTGTTTACAATTGGCACATTACTGTTAAGTGTAGGTCTGATAGTAAAACATCAACTGACAACTAGTCTCTAATGACGTTTGGTGAAATAATGATAACATCAGTACACACATATAAAATGAAACAATTAAATATCAATATTAAATTTATTTTTTTTGAGCTGGTCAAGACCTATCAAATCCCATTGTAATTTTGTAAAGTTTTGTATTGTGTTATAATATTACAAGTTACAAGGTTTTATCCATTTTGTCCATTTTTGGACAGAAGACAGGTCAAAATCAAAAATAGTGGAAAAAATTACACTCCTAGTTAATATTCACATCTGTAGATTCAGCCAGAGTAGCTATGACTAAAATGGTAACTCAAACAACATACATTTTTTAAATAGGAAATGTAATTACTGAAAGAAATACATGAATACTATTATTTTTGTTTGTAGATTTGTGATTAAAATTTCTAACAATTATTTGAAAAGAGTTTCCTTAAATATATATAACCTAGAATTATAGAACTATATACTTCTGTTATAACTAGTGAAAACCAAAATTTTATAGTTAAAGGCTATTACAATATAACCAATGATAGATTGAGTGTTAATATACAATGCTAATTATTTAATTTTGTTTTTCAGACCGGCTGATATAAATCCTAATGCACTTGTACAAATAGAAGGTATTGTATTCTTTAATATTTAATTAATTAATTAATATTTTGATACTTGTGTGTTATCGCGACTACCTCTTATTATGGGTTATAGCGACGCTTTTTTATACCCGATTCTATTTCTAATTCTATTTTTTCCAGTGTCGTTACTATTGCACTTATCGCAATTTTATAGACTGGCTAAGTAATTTTTAGGACTTCTAGGACTTTAGTGGACATTTAGTCACAATCACTTTGTGGTAGTAATAACTTGTTGTACAGTTACGATTATTTGGCAATGGCTCTGTGGAACTTACCAATTACATTGACTTTTAGCTTTGGGTAGTTTTGTATTATTATAAACTTATTAAAAATATGTTGCATACTATAATGCAGTGGTTCTTAACCGGGGTGACATGTCACCCAAGGGTGACATGGACACAGTGTAGGGGTGACACGAAATCTCCATAGGAAAAGGAAAAAAATTAATTTTAATAAAACCATATTATTACCACAACAGTCATGTAAATAGCATACCTTTAAGTTTACATCTTTATATTATTTAGATCCAATGAATATGTGCAGTATTGTTATTAACGCAAAATCGATGTATTATCGATTTTTTTATCGACTTAACCGGGGTCGTTAGTTATTTTACAGTCGTTAGATATGTAGTATTATTATATACAAATAAAACAAATAAGTATAAAAATCTTTAAAAAATTTTCTCTTTTTTTTTTTTTTAATTTTAAGTATAAACTTTATAATATCAATGTTTATTGAACAATGCATCTCAATAAATTGAAGGTGTTCTACTGTTTTCTTCTGTTATTATTCTTCTGTTTTTATTGTTTTTGTTATTTCAAGAATTATTCTAAAATACACAGTTAAGATTATTTATTATTTTGATGTTAGGGTGACGCGGTGTTTAATTCTAGTGGCTAAAGGTGACACAAATGAAAAAAGGATAAGAATCACTGCTATAATGCGTTCGAAATGAAGGTAGTTACAATAATGCACAAGTGAAATGAAGGTAGTCGCGACGAGTCGGTGGTAGGCGCGAAAACGCACAAGTACTAATATTTTCTCTAAATAATTAATTAGTAATTAATTATTTATTTAATTATTTTATTAATATCTAATAAATATTAGTATTATTATATTGATAAAATATATTTATGATTTTTATAAAATTTAATTTAAATAAAAAGAAGTCTAAAATTTTTTAATTTTTACAAAGTTATTTTGAACGATTTAAGAAAATAATTTATTATATGATTTAATTTATATCTTAAGGATCGTCATCAAGTTCTAGTACTGTGATGGGACCTGGTGGCGCGCCTAATCGTCCTCTTCCGCCTACTCCAGATGAAGAAGAAAGTGGTGACAGAACATTGGTTTTAAAAAGGGTAAGTGTTGTATTTATTTTATTATAGGCTTATGCACACTACATCAAACTTTTCACGAATTTGGTGAATGTTAATAGTGTGTCGTTTTAGTAAAAAAAAAATTTTTTAGAAAAAAATATAAGCTTAAAATGGGACATTTCTGTTATTATTCTAGCATGAATGAAAATGTGTTATTGAAATGGAATTGCCTTGAAGGTTTTTTGGACAGAATTTAAAAGTAATAGTGATATTTTATAATATTCACTATTAGCATTTCATTTTTATCAAGTGTTCTTAAAAATAGTAACTCAATGCACGAGTATTAATCATTAGTTTTATTTTGTTAAATGTCCCATTACAGTGCATTTTATTTATTTTTTATACTAGAACAAAAATAAGTGTAGGATAAATTTTTAAGTATAAAATTAGCTCAAATGCTTATTTATTTACTAATAATGATTTGGCTTTTAAAGTATATTCCTTTTTATTATACTTAGTGTGTATTTTTAAAAAGTAGAAAAATCAGCTAGTTTTTTTGGTGGTAGAACTTGGTCCACATAACTATAATTTCTGACCATAAATTACTTACTGTTCTATTTAATATATTTCTCCAGAGATTTATTGTATAGATGAAACAAGTATAACTTTTATGTAATAATGCTTTTCTAAATTTACTTATATTATCTTTATAAATTTACAATAGTATGAAGTTGGTTCCACATTTAATATAATTTGTAATCCTTATCAGAATATGTAACTGTTTTAAACTATTGCTGTTACATTAACCTACATAGAGGAGGTGGTATTTAATACTGCAAATTATGCAAAAATATGTTTACGAGTATTATATTCTAGAATCTTTGATAAACTATCATATTTTTCGACTAAAATTGTGTAAAATAATCTGAGTACTAGTACATCTACCAGTATCAATTATTAAATAATGTGGATCCAGCTTAACGGTGTATGGTATTTTTTTTATCAAAATTTCATTGCATAGTAAGTTATTTCATTTTGGAAAGTGAATTATACACAACATACTTTGTTGTACAATTTTAAAAAAAAACCTTAAACATACTTATAATTGTAGATAATATTTTTATTGAGATTTGATTAATTTTACATTTTTTATACTTACCAACAATATATCAAACTAATGTTTTTTATTTGTGAGTATAATCTACAGTTTTTATTTTCGATCATTATATTTATGTATATAAAATGATAGTTGATTCTTATGAAATTATCAATTTATAATTTGGAAAATTTAACTTTTTTATTTTCAACGTTTTGTGAATCATTCAATATTAGTTTGAGATAAAATTAATATAATTTTTACTATAGCTTTTAGTTTTAATTTTAATTACTCATGAAGAGTTTTTTAAATTTTTTATATTCTCAGAAGTATTTACATATTTTTATTTGTACTATATAGTTTCGGGTAACAGCATAATATTATTAATTTTGTGTTTATTATTAAAATTTGTTTTGAAATTAGTAAGATTTTTTGTTTGGAATTTTTTTTGAATTCGCTTAGTTGTATTATATTCTTATTTGCATGTTATTAGTTATGAGACAGAGCAGCACCATCTTATTACAAAACAATCATAATTTACACGAAAAGTTAATAGTTAATTATATGGGTACATTATCAAATAGAACTTAATTCAAAAGAAGTTCCAAAATAATAATTTATATGACAATAAGTTTTAAAATGAAGGTTTTTGATTTAATTTTAAATGGGTTTTAGTAAAAGGAATTTTAAGAAAGGTCAAAAATATATTCTGTATTCAAATTTTCACTAATAGATAGGTTTATCGGAGTTCTGTTATCAAGACTTGCATTGGACCATTAAGTTTCTTTTAAATTATTTTTGTTTTAATATTTTAAAAAATTCTTAAACCAGTTGCCGCAACAAAAATCAAGCAATGAAAAAGTAGATATTGATGAGCAAAAATTGCTGAAGGATTGGGATTTTGCTCGATTCTTTCAAAAGTCTAATAATATTGCTGCAAAAGATTCTCAACATAAAGCCAAAGAACAGATATCGTCTGTACCTAGACGTATGCCACTTCATAAGTATAATGGTTCAGAATCATCTGGCCCATCTAAATTTATACCAAATGTGTTCAGAAGAGAGAATACAGACTTTTTTATACCATCGGCTCGTCATTCTGCTGTGTTTCTTGAAGGAAGACTTTCTGATATTCAACAGAGAAGAGGTTCAGATGCTAGTAAAAAAACTTTAGAACGAATTGATTCATTAAAAAAACCTTGGAAGCCAACTAGACCAAGAAGAGAAAGAACTGATGGTGATATTGTTTTACAATCCAGTCGACAAAGATTAACCAGACCATTATTAGAAAACAGACGTGTAGAGGGTGATCCCAGATTTTCTCATGGATGTGCTAATAGTAGCAAGAAGAGTAATGGTCAAGATAATGGACATACCAATGAAACTAATCAGGTTAGAGATAGAAAAGTAAAGGTTAATATATCATGCCATGTGTTTTACTTTAATATGCGTTCTCGCTAATAATACATATATCAGGTGTCTCATTTACTACTAAGAATTATAGGTACTTAGTGTAAGGACACCTTATAATTCAAGGGTTATTAGGTTTTTTGTCATTTATTAATTTCATTGATATCACTGTTGATCATCAAGTCAAATGAATCTAATTCCAAATGAAACAATTTTAATCTTGTGCATTTTGGTGATATGACTGTTGAGTGGTCAGTGGTATTTGTGAAAATTGCATGACTTTAAACCAATTTATCCTAGTACAAAGATTATTATAAGATAAAAAAAAAAATACTAACTGATAATTAGCAATGTGCTTTGATATAGTTAAATATATAATACAAAAGAAAAATCAATTATTTTCATTTAATAATAAATTATTTTATATTACATTTTAATATTCGGTTTTAATTAAAAAACTATTAAAATAATTAAATAAATAAAAATTTGACTTCTTTTAACCTATGCATTAGTTTGTTAAAATGAAAAAAGGACAAATTATGCATACTAAGAATTATATATTCATTATTCATTTATTTTTGATAAATTGATAAATATTAATTTATTAGTATTATACATTTATAGTTGAGTTTCAGCTATAACTTGATCTTAATTTTGAAAAATTTTAATTTAATTTATGAAATAAATTAAATTAATAATTAACTCTAATGATATTTAAATATTTTCTTAAAATAAAAAAAGTTAATTTTATAGTATTCATATTTGATAATCAATAATCACCCGTTTTAATTATTTCAAATAAAAATGTCAATACTTCAAAACAATAAAATATATATTGCATATTTTATTTATATTGTTTGTAATTATTTTAAGACTGAAGCCTTAATAATTTAGTGTATATCATTGCACATTTCTAAATAATTCTTTGTAATAAAAGAAAAATACAAGTGTATCAATAAAATCAATATTAAGTTTGATGTTTTGGAATGTGCAAGAATGATCTAAATCCAGATTAGTTTTTTTTTGTCATAATCTCTATGTATAATTTGGATCACAAGAATAAAGATTGAATGGTGTATGCTATATTTAATATAAATGCGTCCGTGCTGTGTGCATGTTAATAAAGTGTTGTGTTTGTTTGTATTGCATGTTATATGTTTTAGCAGTATGTAAATAGCTAGGTTGGATAATAATGATAGTTTTAGAATACATACAAGTTAATAAGATGAGAGAAATAGAAATGTAAAAATAAGTTGTTTTATACAGATATTGATAAATTACTTTATACTAATATTTATAAAGTAAATATGGTAAGTATTTAAAAAAATACATGTATGTTTTAATATTAGCATGAATGTGGTTTTACTTCATTGGAATGAATGATAGCTCATATTTATTGAGCATAATATATACTAAAAATTGTTTACAACTAATACATGCTGAATAACATAACTAATGCAACAATTTGAAACAAGTGTAATTTCCAATGTATATGAGTACGTAAAAATTAACAAAATAATGTATGAAAACTTATAGAATCGTGATGAACGTCGTAGTGATTTCCATAGACATGACATATCAGGTGGATCAAGTTCAAGAACAAGTTCGGTCTTACCAGATCTACTTTCTCAGGTTTGGTTGATGAGTTAACTAAATTTTATTTCATTATTTGTAAATATATATTTTTTTTTTCTAGGCTTCATCTAGTCCTGGTACTCCAAATCAAAGACTCGATAAAAGTAACAGTGAAGAGGTATGATGTAAAATTATTAAACATTTAAATTTCATGTGTTGAAAATTTCACATTTTAATTATTTAAAATATTGTAATTTTATTTTCTAACAATTAGATTTGATTTAAAATAATATCTAATTGACTTTGATTTTGTTTTATGTCCATTAACATCATTAACTCAAACAACCATGTCCACCATTCATTTAAAGTAAGTTTAATTGAACTTCAGTGTTTTTATTATCAACAGCTATTACTTAATTGTTGTAAGAATTGTATGTAATTTTAATAAATGGTTGTTGGTATTAAAAGATTGATATATATTTATTATTTTTTTATTTATTATAATAATAAACATAACTTGTATTTTTTCTTTGGTTTCAGTATCAAAATGCAATATCAAAAACTTATTCCTTACTACAGAAACAACGTTCATTCCTGACATTTGGTTTTGGAGCTGGTGGTACTGGTACCAGTACAAGTTCTCAAGGTCCGGGTCGTCGTGAATCACATGTTAATGTTAATGTTACACCAACTGTTCATGATTTAGCATCGGAGACACCAGAAATACGCAAATATAAGAAACGCTTTAATTCTGAAATTCTTTGTGCAGCATTATGGGGTACTCATTTTTTTAAAAATATATTTTAGATATGAAATAAAAATAAAAATTGTTTTTTAGGAGTTAACCTATTGATTGGTACAGAAACTGGACTTATGTTGTTAGATAGAAGTGGCCAAGGTAAAGTGTATCAACTAATTTCTAGGAGACGATTCCAACAAATGGAAGTACTGGAAGGTCAAAATATTTTAGTAACTGTTTCTGGAAAGAAAAATCGTGTTAGAGTTTATTATTTATCTTGGTTAAAGTCTAAAATACTTAGGACTGATGGGGTAAGTTTTAATTTATATTTTAAATTGTACGTATTATTACAAATTTGTATGTTTCCAGCAAGTGGAACGAAGAAACGGATGGATAAATGTTGGTGATTTACAAGGTGCTGTACATTTCTGCATTGTCAAATATGAACGTATTAAATTTTTAGTCATAGCTCTCAAAGACAGCATTGAGATTTATGCATGGGCTCCTAAACCCTATCATAAATTCATGGCTTTCAAGGTATGTATTGATACATTGTAATTTATATATTTTGTTATTTAATAACATTTTGACTTTTTAGTCTTTTGGAGATCTTGTTCATAGACCCCTGCTAGTAGATTTAACAATTGAAGAAGGAGCACGACTTAAGGTAATCTATGGTTCAGCTGATGGATTTCATGCTGTAGATCTCGATTCTGCATCTGTGTATGATATATACTTACCGAAACACGTAAGTATATACCATTTTTCTCTATATAAACTAGATATATCTTTTGTTTTATTATTTATGGATTGATTTTTCAAATAGACTCAAGGAGCGATTGCACCACATTGTATTGTTGTGCTACCAAACTCTAATGGGCTTCAATTGCTGTTATGTTATGATAATGAGGGTGTATATGTAAATACTTATGGAAAGGTATTTATATTTATTTCTTTGTTTTTCTATATTTTAATTATTTTTTTAATTCTTTACCTCTTTAGATGTCTAAAAATATACTGTTGCAATGGGGTGAGATGCCTACATCAGTTGCATATATTGGTACTGGCCAGATTATGGGCTGGGGCAATAAAGCAATTGAAATACGAAGTGTAGAAACTGGTCATTTGGATGGTGTATTCATGCATAAAAAAGCACAGAGGTTGAAGTTCCTTTGTGAGCGAAATGATAAGGTATGTTTTTTTTGTAAAATTTTGTTTTAGTCCATGTAATTAAATTTTATGTAGCCCTAAATATTCTAAGAATAAACTTAAATTTATCAAATTGTGTTTTAAAAATTGGTTTTCTATAAATTAATTGTTTTCCTTTATGGTTGTGAATATTTAAGGTGTTGTTGTGTGCCGTCGTTCAATTGTAAAGATGGTGATGATTTAGGAATATTCCAAATAAAAATACTCAAACTAAGTTAAACTGTTTATTGAAATATTTCTAAGTACAAATTATTTAATTAAATTGACAAATAAACTGGCGTGGAGGTGCACGCTAAAATACGTCTTAAATACATCTGAATATTGGTCTATTCGGGACTCCCTTATATATCCCGCTTCTCATAGTTGACCTGGATCTAGTGAATACTAAATCACTTGTCATTTGACATTCTGGTTTGATGCTACTTGTGTTTTGTGCGCCTAACCCAAGATAACCTATGTAATCAGTTGACCTCGTGAATTCCGCATTTTGCACATATCCTACTGATGCCCGTTTATAATAGTTGTTTTTAATATTTATTACATACTAGTTGTCTTCTCTACAATAAATCTCGTAAATACCTACATCTCCTGAATATGTCATACTGATAGTTATTCTTAATATTACACCTTGGAATGTAACCGTACGGTATATATAATATGTGTTTTGGTTTTTAAACTAATAGTTCCTTTCTATTGTTGCGAATATTATATTATTTATAATCATTCCCCGATCTCTATTATTTATGATTTATGTGGTCCCATTTATGTAGTAAAAGTCGTAAGGCCTACATCTATGTATGTCCGTAACAGTATTAATAATTGGGCTATTCTTTTATTCTATTCTAACTATTCTTTTATAATGTATAGTGCATTAATAAAGTTGTGCATTGTTTGACTAATCATAACTTTTTGTAATTTGTCCACATACATATATATATACAGAATGCATTTTGAGTGTGAATATGTAGGTATAATAATCTTTCTTAAATATTATTATTTATTTGTCTTAAAAAATGGTGTAATAGGTAAAGGAAAATGTATATAACAAAAAATTGTCATTACAATTTCAGAGTAGCAATCAGGCATAATTTACATGTTATGGTTTAAACCTTTATTCAGGGTCTTCCAAAATTATTTATCACAAAACTGGTTGGTGACATTAAATGTATCCACATGATCTCATTGTGTTATTTGGAAGATTCTATTGTTATACAGATACAAATGTCTATGTTTGGAAATAATTAAATTTTTATGTTATAGGTATTCTTCTCGTCTGCTAAAGGTGGATCATGTTGTCAGATATACTTTATGACGCTCAATAAACCCGGTATGGCCAATTGGTAGATGAGTTTTTATCAGAGTAACAAGATTGTAACTACATGAAGAAACACAATGATTAACATTAATAGCCAATATATTTAAATGGACCAACCTATCTGGAAACCACTTGTGGTGTGATGGCTTACAATTTATTACCAAGTTATATTATATGTTTATACATGTAATAATATTATTGCTTCAAACAAAAAGACTTGATTACCAAGTATGGTATAATATATATAGAAAAATAATAATCCTCAACACTAATGTATTTTTAATAACTTTTCAAGTAGTTTTTTACCTTTTATTAATGTGCCTGTGCACTATAAGTTTTCTTTTTTTATCAAAACACTAGAGGCCATTTTACATTTTGATGTTTCCTATAATGCCCAGTGTACTCAAATGGGTTTTGAGCTGTGAAACAGAAATTTATGAACAAATATATAGTTATATATGTCATTTAGATAAAACGTTAGTGTGTATATTCTTTTTTTAATTTTTTTTGAAGCTCACAAAATTTTATGTTAACCGATATATTATAATTATTCAATATAAAAAAAAATATATATATATATATATAATTATTTTATACTTTATATTATTTATATTATTTGTTATTAGTTTAAATTGCAAATAAACAAAATATTAGTCCATAATTTTTTTATATTTACGAAATAAATGATTGTTCTTAAGTCAAACTGATGACATTCATTGAACAAAATCACTTGTGTATATTAATATGTTTATTATTATTATTTTTTAGCTGGAAATAATATAAAATATTTTTTCTATGGAATAATATGTTTATAGGATTTAGTATTTTATATTTTGTTGTATGAAAACAAAATTATTTGCTAATTTAACTAGACAAAATTATGGTGCTTCATTCCGATTTGCAAAAAAAAAAAAAATGCAAAAAAATCCATTGTTGTACTGTATTATATTATTTTTCTTCATCTATTAATGTGTCAAAATTTTTGTATTGAATTAAAATATGTGTTTAGATATGACACATCTTAATGTTTTTGTTTGAAAAAAATATATAAATATTTCTATTCCCATAATATTTTTTTGGCATCATAAAAACAAAATATTTTTATCTATTTCAAAGTGATGCTTATTATTTATATTTATATGTGTGGTCTTCTTTACAGAAATGTATATCAGGCGTTGAATGACTAAGTTGAATTTTTGTTATACATAGGGACGCCATGTTAGATCTTTGTATACTACCTTGATAAATGTATTTACACAAAATATATAAAATTATATTTATTATATTTCATATATTCTCTGGTATTTGTATGCTATCTTTATAAGAAATAAACTTATAATTGTAATTTAAAGTTTAAACTTAAAACAAAAAAATAGTGGACTCAGGGCACACAGGGGAAATTTTATTTATGTGAAAATATTTTTATTTTTTTTTTCAAACTAGAAGAAAGAATTAGAAATCACAATATAAAATTTTGAATGTAGTAGTGTATTGATTATTTAATAAAAAAAATTGGGAAATTGATGAATGGCATTTAAATAATTTCAAATTATTTACATTAGATACAAAGGATGTATAAGTTTCAATGTAACTTATAAAACTTCTATAGACGTACAAATAATGTATTAAATATTTGTGTTACTCAAAATTGAATAAAATTTTTAAAAAATAAAAAAATCCAATATACGTAATCATATTTAAAATGTCGGTACCGCATGGTCTAATACTATAGATTGATCAAGGGAGCATTTAGATTTACTTCTAAGGGGGGTGGGGGGCAACTCAAATTTTTTCTTTAATTCAGGCTCAAAATTTACAAGTAACATTTTTTTTGGTATTATTTAAATCAGGTGATTCCTTAATACTTGCGGTTTTTTTTTTTTTTTTTTAATCTAATGCTGGATCCACTTAGAATGGACTTTTATGTGGTTCTTTTTTAACACCTATCTGTGTTTTAAAAGTTTCACTTGTGTTTTATTTGATTTTTCACTAAGTATGGACCGGGGCTTAAATCAAAATAATATATATTGTTTACCGTTATGGGACGTATAAACGTTATAAGCAATTGAGCGTTTAACGTTATAAATAATTTAAACGTTTTTCAATTTAAGCGTTTCATAAATTTTTCGTTTACCGTTATTGACAATTAAACCGTTATGAACAATTTAGGGTTATGCGTTATTTAAATTTGTGTAAAATTTGAAAAGTTTTCAAATGCAGGGTTGCCAGATGTGGCGATAATTCGCCAAAGTGGCTACATTTATTATCACTTGGGCTAATGAATTTAAGATTTGGCGACTGGCGATGACAATGGCTAAATTTAATAAAAAAAAGGCTAGAAATTGGCTACATTTTGACATCAGACTACTCATCTATTGAATACAAGAAAAAAAAATCACTAAAATTATATTTTAAATAAAGACTGTAAACTATACCGTAGATTACTATGTTATTAGAACAAAAATCAGCGTCTTAGCCACTGATATAGAATATAGATAATAAATATTCTTTATCAATACAAAAATATATATAAAAGTATATCTGTGTTTATTAACAACATCGAAAATTGATAGTGCCAATGTGCCATTGGTACATAATCAATGTCTTAAAATCGTGAAATATATTTATAACAATTCGCTGTTTACGCTGAACTTTGTTGTCGTCATGATCGACTCACACCGATAACGAATTATGAAACTAAA